TTTGTAATCTTACCTTCTTAATCTATATATTATGCTTATACATGATTATCATTCATTGATGTATAAAAAAATTGTCTTGGATTTTTTAATCTTTTGCATCCAAAAATTTGTAGTTCTGCCAATTTTTGGATTAAGTTAATGATCTTAGATTCATTCAAAAGCCAAAGTTCTATTATTCATCATACCCACAAATCACATATTGTTATTATGCAGGCTTTAAAAATCATCAATAATTTAAAACATCAACCACTCATGTTAAAATTCCTTGATTTTTTAAATTTTGATTAATTAATAAAATATTGGGCTGATTGAAATGAAAATAACACTTTATTAAGATAACCTTCTGCTCTGATTTATGTTTATATGTGTTTGCTGAATTATTGTTATATATTCTTGTAATTCAGATTTGGCTCATATAACAAAAAATGATTATTTACTGATTTATATTAAATACAACATTAAATATATTAATATTCATTTATTAATTTAATGAGTCCTTTAATTCATTAAATTATTGTTATTACCTTTAGCTTTCTTAGACATAAATATATCCATCCATAAGGCTGGTCTTTATGGTGATGGTAATAGTTAATCCAAAGCTCACTATTCTAGTTGAATTAAAATCTTAGAAACAAAGCTTGTTAATAATTTATTAAAGAATTGTATTATTTACTAAGGAATTATAAGTTGTCTTGTTTCCATTATCCATGCCTCATTTGACTACACCAACCCAATGATGTAATATTATTTCTAAGAACCAAATGGTGATTTTTTCTTATTATTATTGAAATTACAAAATAATTTGTTGCAATATTATTAAGAATTGAAGGCATAGCTATCAACAGGTAATTCTTTTCTGTTTTTTTAGTAAATAGCTAAAAATTCTACAAAGAGATCAAAGAATGTACAATTTACTAGTGATATGTGAAATGTCATCTGACTAATAGATGGGATTAATTCAAAATTAAAAAAATTTATTCAAATTTATTCAAGTTAAAGAATTAAAATTTATTCAAAAAAATTAAAAAATTTGTTTGAATGACCTTTAACATAATTCAAATACTAAAATTCACAACAAATAAAACAAATAATTTGAATAAATCTTATTCAAATAGAAACTACAAAAAAAGCAAATTGATTAATGATTATTTAAGCAATACAATAGTTTTATATATTCTTTTTGGAGATCAATTAGATTTTTTATAACAGGACCATTGACATTTTCGTTATGTCATATTACTATAGATCTGTGGGAAACTATTAAAAAATTAATTAATTCCTACCCTAAATGTGGCATTTGTCAAATTTGTATTAATCAGCTCCATCTATCATGAGTTTTTTTTTTTGGATATTTAAATGACAATTTTTTTTTTCATTGCAGTATTCAAAAATTTCAAAAATTTCAAATTGTTCAATACACAGGTAAACTTGATAAATACTTGTCTGATTTATCGAGTTTATATACCTGTGTTATAATTAATGATCTACAGATTTTTTGTGATCATGTTGTGGCTAAATTTATCTTTTCGTGACGCATCATTTTATTTTTACAATAACGCAAGTCAAAAGTTTACCAAGGCACCATGATGTGAATCAAAAAAAATTATCACTATCATTCTTATTACTTACTATGTAAATTTTCTTTACATTGCTTTTTTATCAAAAAGTTATTTATACATTGTTTTTTTAAAAATTATTAAGATGCAAATCAAAAAGCAAATCAAAAACAAATCAATAACTATCAAAATACAAGTAAAAAAACTAATCATCATTATCATCATAACCATAATCATCATCATTATTACTATTATTATTATTACTACTATATACACAAGTTTTTAAATTTTTACCAAGAAATTATCAAGTCATGAATAGACACAGTTAAAGAAAAAACTAATAACTACTTTATCAAGACAAATCAAAGAAATTATTTTATCAAACATGAAAATCAATTATTTTACCAAGATACAAGTCAAAAAAGAAACTAATATTATTATAAATCTTTTTTTACAATATCTTTATCAAAAAAAAAATTTTTTCAATAACCATTTTATCAAACCAATTTAATAATATCATCATCATCATCATCATTATTATTAGTACACATTTTTACATTACTTTATCAAAAACTTATCAAGGTGTTAATCAAAATTTTTTATCAAAATTAATATTAATATTAATATCACAATTATCATTATTAGACAAATTTTAACAATAATAAATATGGCCACTAAATTGCAACATCAATTATTATCAGCAAGAAATTCTTTAAAACAAAAAGAAAAGGAGTTAAATCTTGAAGTAATTTTTATATCATAACATTCTGTAATAAATTTTTTATTGAAAACATTTAAAATAATTTTATTTTTTATTGTTTAAAGCAATTGAAAAATAATGAACAGTTTTGGATTAAAAATTATAGACCTGCCAATCTCAATTATATAAAAGTAGCTGACATTTGTAAAAATTTAGAAATTATGAAAGGAGATTACAAAATATATCTGGTAATTATATGTTAAATATAATCTATTTATTTAATATTATTAATTAATTTGATGTATTGATTATACAGATAGAGATTAAGGATATTATGAAATATTATAACACACAATTAATGTGCCATTTAAAAATCAAAATCCTGTATTAATTGGAAGAATTAGTAATAGAGTATATATATTTTTTACTATTATTTATTATTTATGTTACATGATTTTTTTAATCTTATTATTATCTCTAGTTCAATGGTTGGAACCCTGGTGCTAAAGTAGGATGCAAAATTGGCTATTGAAAGAGTTAATAAAAAAAAACATTCAGCATCAGAGTAAGCAATTAAATATATTTTTATTATTTTAACTTTCCCACCCTAATAATTTTTTTTACAAATTAAGGGGATTATCAAAATGAAAAAACCTAAGACAAGTGGTAGTGGTAGTAGTGATAGTAATACTAGTGGTGGTAGTGATAGCAATCATACTAGTAGTAATAGCAGTAATAAAAACAAAGGTAAGATATAATTGAATGCTCATAATGAATATAATAATTATTTTTAATTTGACATTAATTAATATTAATTTATACTGCTAGATGATAATATTGTTGATGATGATTATGATGATGATGGAAATATCAATGATAATAATATGGGTAATGTATTTATTTATTTTTATTTATTTGTAAATAATTATAATAATAAAGGTATTATAGCCAACAAATTTAAGGACACAAAAATTGAGTTGTGCAAAAATTTAAATTTTTGTGGTAATGTGAATTTGATTACACCAAGATTTGTTGATCCATTTTATTTATTATTTACATTAATTATATTCATTAGAACAAACAAATTAACATAAGAATATTATTTATTATATTTTCTTCATTAGCAAGTATT